CCCCAAAACCCCAAAACCCCAAAACCCCACTATCCATATGTTAGTTTTTATAAAGGATAGCTGAAATTAATGACTTATTTCTATATGGATAAATCTTAATAAACACGCTTAAATTAATATTAATTTATAAAGTTCGACTACAGTTCCATATGATGCTTCATCTATTAACTCTTAATCTTTCATTTGGGTCAACATCCATGTTTCTAAGCATTTGATTCTTCTCAGCTAGCATTTGCTTCAACATATTTATTTCATTTGAGAACTTGGCAGTATTCACTTGCATGTTCTCTTCTATAGTATCTACTCTCATTTGCTCTCTTTGTAGTTTAATCTCATAAGCAACTTTCTCATCTTCCCAGTCCTCGTATTCATTGCTATTTACTTAGTTGTTATAATTCAATTAAGGGTTTTAGCTTTCCATTCTATTCATCAGTTCTTGCTTGAGATCACTTAAGAGTTTTTCAAGATTTTAAGTCTCCCTTCTTAGTCTCTCAACTTCAGAATTCTCCATACTTGGACCAAATGATGCTTGTTTAACTTGATGCTATAGTTTAGCTATTTCTTCTTTAAGATGATCAAGTTCTATTGTATTTTCTCTGGCTTTCTCCTTGCTTTTGACTTTATTTTCTAGAAGATTTTCAAGTCTGGCTATTACTGCTTCCTGCTTTTTTATAGTTTCTTGAAAGGTTATTTCTTTCTAGGTTTCCTTTTGCAGTTCAAGCAGCTTTTAAGATTTCACACCATGTTCTTTTTGTAAGGTATCCAATTCCTTTTCCAACTCTTAGATCGTATCTAAATCATTGTAACAAGCTTTAATTTTCTCTTCGAATTCATGATTTCTTAGCCTTTCAGTCTTATAGGCTTAAGCAACTTTCAAAAGTTTATTTTTTACTTCTGTTGCTGACATTGAAATGATATCCTTGGTGATTTCAACAGATCTTTCTATTCTTTCCTCCTCTTGTAGTTTTTAATGAAGTTTAAAGTTTTCCAATTTTAATTGCTTGATTGAGGACCTGAGACCCAGCATTTCTTTACCTTTAAGCTTAAGTTCTTCAGATTTATCGTTAATATCTTTTGCGACTCTATGGATAAGTTCTTGCTTTTATTGAAGTTCTTTAGATAGAAATTGCCATCTGTCTTTCTCATTAAAATAGTCATAGGTTCCACCCATCTCTGCAGTAATTATTAGATATCAATCTTACTTTCATTTTTTTCTTTGCCTCGTCTAGCTTCCCAATCGTATTCAAAATTTTCCTCAAAAAATTCATCTACTGCTTCTGTTGGGAAACAAGATAAATCTAATCTGCATTTCGACACAACCAGTGCTTTATACATAGGATTATGCTCATCAAACTTCACTGAGAACGTCATTTTTTCATGAGAGTAGTTACTGATTAATAGATTAAATAACTAAAACTTACTAAAGCATTCTTCTCAAATCAATGTCAAGTATATCAGTAGCTCCTACTACAATATTGGGCATGAGATGTTTATGTGACTTTGATTCTTCATTAACTACAATAAATATTCTTGTTTTTCTATCTAAGAAACTCTTTGGCATTCTAAAGTATGTAAGGCAGTTATGAATATTTCTGATTGGATCTGGAGGGATTCTGAGAGATGGACTTAGATATAATGAATACGATTGATTATTCTGATACTAGAAAGCTCTAGCAATGCTCTACTCATCTTAAAGATCAATAGTAATATAGGGAGTATCAGTTGGTATATAGCCATCTGTAGTAAAAAGACAATTAAATTGCTTGCAGACATATGGAATAGGATCAAAGTCAGCCCAATGAAGAGTTACAGTGCAAATTGAATCAACAAAGCTTTCAAGTTATTTCTCAAGGCATAAACTAACATAAATTACAGGATGAGCATTGTAATCTCCTCCTCTCAGATGTATTTCTAAATGAATAGGTTTGAAAGTCTTGAAGAAATTCAATGGTATATAAAATCTTTCAAAAGGCTCTCCAACTGTGTTATCTGTGAAGCTAAACCAAAAAAAGCCTTCAACATCTGGATGAGAAGGAGGATTATTTATTATCAGTTACTAATTCCAATAAGGATGCCTATTTTCTTCAATAATTACTGAGAACTATTTTGTATATGGATCGACTGATGAATAGTATAGAGTATTAGACCACGCAACTTCAGCAAATATAGATGGCATTTTATGTGGATTCATACTATTTAAAGGCATATCAACACCAGCTCTAAGGTCAACTCTGATTCGCCATTCGAAATTTGGGTTCTCAAGTGGCATGTATTGAATTGATGATGAGGAAATTTCTGGCTTTTTGTTATCTAAACTCTGCATTAGAGTATCTCCGTATTTGCTTTATTAATCACCGACAAGCTTTAATGATATGTTAAACCTACCAGCATTCTATTCAATAATGTCTCTTTAATTGTGTCTACCAGGAGCCTCACCCATCTTGGAAAAGTCAGCAGATTTAATCAACTTCAAAGATTGATAAATTAGCTTTTGCTCATCAAAGTATGAGACCAAATGCCCTACCAGAGGTCTTAAATCAACTTAGCACTCTCCTAATAATGTTTTCTCTTGTTTAGTCTTCTATTCTCCATTCACAATATCCTTAAACTCTTTGATCTTATATACTTAAAACTACATAAAAGATAATGAATATATTGATAATCTATTACATTCAATTAGGAATCATTGAGGTCTCTTTTTATTGGAAAATTGAATTTGTTGATGTTGAATATGGGACTCGCTGTTTTTCCTGAGATATCAGTCCTCCTCTAGAAACTTACAATAGTATAGTTACCTTATCGCCAGTATGATCCAATTCTACTGTCATATAATATCTAAACTCATCATGCTAGAAAATTGCGGATTCCAAAGTAACTTATAATGCTTTATATTGATTGTTATCCATTTCAATTTATCTATTTAAAATTAAATAAAAATTTTAAGTTAATTTCATAAAAAAATCGATATGAACAGTGATATAAGTTAACACAACGATACCTAGGATGATTTAAATAGGTAGAATACTTTGAATTCATCACACATGGATTATCACATGTATCAGACAACCTAAAACTTTAAGATAAATGATAAGTACCAAAACGATTTTTCAGGTACCTACTTCGACAACAGTCTACAAGAGGAAGATTCAAAAGATGAAGAATCTTATTAAGGAAACTAAACACAAGGATCAGGTAATGGATTTGAAACTCAAACAAAGGGATTTGACCAGGAAAATAGCCTTGATCACTAGATTTCTAAGTAATATCAAACTTAAAAAGTAAAGCAAAATTACAATCAAAGAAAAAATACTCTTGAAAACTCTAAGGACAAGATAGTGAGCGTCTTCTCCAATTCTTTTGACGAGAGTGCTCCTAGTCTAGAATTGAAACCCCAAAGAAACTGTAAGAGTTCAACGAGGATGATGAATAAGACTCAGAAAAGGTAAAATATAGTACCGAATTTCCCAGTCAACTTGATACATAATGTATCTACTGGAAATGGCACTTTGACTGCTGGATCTTTAAATAGAAAACAAGGAGCTTTCAACAATTTTATTAAAAATAAACAAATGCAGAGCTCCTATCAGCAAGCCATACTGAGTCAGCTATAAAGAGCTAATACTTAGAACTCGTTTGACATGAAGAATTTCCAAGATCTATCAAATAGAAGTATGATTCAAACTCCAGGAGGGATAATGAATAACTCTTTCATGATTAACTAATATTTTGGATCCACGATAAATTAATAATCAAATAAGCAGCCTATAACACCCCACAACATGAGTGGAAACAACTAATAAATGCAGCAGATGATTTTATCAGCTGGAGGAGGTTAAATGAATGCAAGATAAAATCATGGAGTAAACCAGTCAAACATGGATCCCTATACATATTTAAGATGGAAATAACAGAAATACAAATCTTGTAGAAGTATTTAGGCCAACGGTGGCCAGTAATTTCAAAAGAATAATCAACACATTATTGCTAATAGTGCCTATCTCTTAAACCATAAAAAAGGAAACCAAACTCAGAAAAATAATAATAAGAGCATTTGCTCTTCTAATGGAAGTGCTTTAGGGAGTGCTTCTTAGACTACTACAATGACTGGTGTGAAAAGTCTAGGCGAGGTGAAAAACCCTTCTATGTTTATATCTTGGAGATTTTGTGATAGGAAATTAACAGATTTGAAAGACATTGGATAATTCAAAAATTTGGCTGAACTTGATATCAGTGGAAATCTTCTTCAAAATGATATATCAGAATTAAGACAACTTTAATTTCTCAGAAAACTAAATCTTTCACAGAATCAAATACATGAGCTATATCCTTTGCCCATAAATCTTGAAATTCTTAATATTTCTAGCAACAATATAAAATCTCTCAGCAATGAAATCACAATGAATCTTAAGAATCTTACAACTTTAGACATAAGTAATAATGGACTAGAAACTCTAGAAAATTTCTAAAACTTAAAGAGACTTAAGAGATTAATTTCTAAAAATAACCTTATTATTGAAACCAATCAATTGAAAGATATCACAACCCTAGTTGATGTAGATTTAGAGTAAAATCCCTTAGATTCACTATCCAAGCTACTTTTGTCATTCATCAGTAAGAATGACCTATTAGTTTTAAATTTAAAGTAATCACCAATTATGCTTATGATAAACAACTATGATCAGCTATTGTTAGAAGTGTAAAATTAATAAAATGGAAAGGATGAATTAAAACTCTGGATTGCTCAGAAGATGAAGTTCCTTAACAATGGATGTCTCTATAAAACTAAAAGAGTGTTTATGAAAATTAAGACTATGTAATAACATTCAAAGAGAAGCTCATCGAATTTCAGTAACGGAAGTTCTTCTTGTGGAAGATATGCTGCTAATACTGGTGGCAGAATTAATAATGCTACTACTTAGTTTGGAAACTTTAACAACTCAAGTATCAATGCTTTCTCACCCCTTCTAAATAATACAGTGACAACCCCTAACTATTAGCATACTAATCAAAGATTTGAGGACATTGAATAGCTTTATGACGAAATACTTGATGAAGAGGAGGAACTTGAAAGAAAGCAAAATAAAGTATAGAGGAAAAAAACTAAGAAGAATTAAGAAGATTTTAGTCAAGATGATGATGAGGATGAGTCTATCTATGAAGATGAAGATTACATCAATCCTTCAATGAGTTGTGATGAAGACATTGACGATCTTTAGTCTTATAGGAATAACGCAAATCTCCATAATGAATTCTTAAATGAGAGCACAGCTGATTTCAACAAGGAGATCAAACAGATTAATCAAGAACTTAGAGAATAACTTGGAACAGACTATCTAAATGAGAATGCTATTGGTAACTTAGATCATGTTTAGAGTTTACATTCAAGTTAGTCAGTAAGCACAAATAAAAAAAATCCGATCAGTTTCAAATTAGACTTGAGTAAATGTACTTAGTAGTAATCTGAGGAGGATGATTTTGACAATACAAAGGGAAATAATGAAGAGGAGGAGGATTAGTTTGATATTCCAGGATTATAGTATGTTAAAGTTACAGATGACAGCTTCAGACAATTATAAAAGCAGCAATCGCTATAATAAAGTATAAGACTGAATCAAGAAAAAGTTGCATAAACTGAACCATCTTAGAGAGATACAAAGAATAATACTTTAAGAGAGTATCCTTAGAAAACTAATTAAAAGCATGTAATGATTCCTAAGTTACAACTTGGAATTTTATAGTAAAATCAGAGTATTACTCAAATCGCAATAAAATAAACGATAAATCAATAACTCAGCTTGAATAACTCCAAAAAGAGTTTATAAAGTGTAAAGACTTACATAAACGATGAGGAAAATTCTAAACGAGATCAGCAAAAGTTGATTTGCAAACCTATTATTGAAGAATGCATGGCTAATATTTGCAGTGAGCAAAGAAAAGAGCTGAAAATTCTACAAAGAGACTATCAAATGAATATAATGAGATTAGTAAATGAAAATTAGCAACTTAAATTCACAATAGATTAGATAAAAGATATATTCTGCTATAAGTCTGATATGGCTTTGTTTCCGAAGTATCTGATCGATCTCAGAGCCAGCACAGAAAAAGAACGATTAAATTTTAACGAAAAAATAGGATTACTTGATCTTAAAATTTAAGAGCTTGAAGCTCAAATCAACATAAGTTAAAAAAACAAATAAAGCCAAAACTATCATGAAATGTATGAAGAGTCTTAGAGGGAGATTCAGTTACTTTAAGAAAAGCTATAATAAAGAGAGAGCTAATACTGTACCGAGAGACAGCTCGCTCATGATCTTTCAAGTTTTTATGCTTAGAATTAATCTGATCTGAAAAGAACTCAAAGTACATAGCAGGAAAACTAGTAAAACAACTCAGCACTTTAACACTAGATGATTTTCAACAAACCTTAGTTCTTCTATCAGAGCGATGTAAAAACCTTTAATATATCAGCAAGAAAAGAGGGGAGTCATGATAATAATTCATCTGTAATAGTAGATAATGTAGCCTAGTTCTCTAGAAAGCGTTTCAATTGCGATATAAAAAAGATAAAGAGACCATAGTCAGTAGCTGGGCACCGAAAATCCTCTTATTGTATCAAGATAAATAGCTTGCTTAGGGTTGACCAATAAAACGGGAATAACTAAATTAGCAACAACATTGATGAACTTTAGTATGCTAATGAATACGGTTCAACTTAAGATTATAAGACTCCATTTGACTAGCCTCAGAATGAATCTGGTAATAAAAAGGTTGGGTAGTATATTGAGAGACTTAAAGAGAGAAATTCAAGTCTTTAAGAAAGATTGAATGGGTCTTTTGGAAGCAATAACAAAACTTGCATCACCAAAGTCTCTCCTATAAACATATAAAAAGTTACAATGAATATGACTCAGTAGTAGGAGTAGATCTCAAACCCCTATATAATAAGCCCCTCTTGTGATGAGAAATTCTAATCAATTCAAACTAAACAGCCTGGTGCGACATAAAGAGTCTCAGTTTTCAAGGCATCCATAATAAATTAAAAGCAGTAGAAAGAGTAAACAGTAATAAGAAAGATCTCCAATGTAGATTCAAGTTCGAGTATTAATGAGTATTCAAGCAGAGAGTACCAAAGTCAGCCTCAAAATTAATCTTTGAACGGTAGCAACGGACAACAACACTCAAAAACTTAGAGAATTAATGTCAAGAAGATACAATACAATCAGTTCTTCTTGCAAAATATTAACACTTCTGCCTAGAATACCAGCCATGTTAACAGAGATCTTAATAACACAGCTATGAGTGGCATAGTCTCAAGAGGAGACAGTACTCAAGACTATTAGATAAATCTTGCTCTGTCTGGAAAGAGAAATAGCAATCATAATAATTTCAACACTAGCTTCCCAAACGCTAATTCTATCCAGAGTGTGCAATCAATAAACAATGCTAATTATGGGAGTTAAACTCAACCTTTTAGCAAACCTCCCAGTGTGAATTCAATTCAATCTTAGAATGTGCAAAATCTTAATTGATTTGACACTGCACCCTTTCCTATACATTGTAATTTGAATTACTTAAAATGATTATTCATAACTCAAAGTGAACAATAACTAAAGGAACAAATTATAATATTTTATACTTAATTATAATTCATACTTTTAATAATGATAAATTTTCAGAGATAAACTTCTCCGGGGTTTTGGGGTTTTGGGGTTTTGGGG